ATCTCTGACAAAGTAGACTTCAAACCTACATTGATCAAACGAGATAAAGAAGGACATTCCATACTAATAAAAGGGGAAATAGACCAAAAGGAAATAATAATCATCAACCTGTATGCACCCAATTTCATCAAACATACCCTGAAAGACCTAAAAGCATATATAAACCAACACAGTGGTTGTGGAGACTTTAACACCATTATCATCAATAGATAGGTCATCCAAACAAAAATCAATAAAGAAATCCAAGATCTAAAATATACAATAGATCAATGGACCTAGTGATGTCTACAGAACATTTCATCCAACTTCTACACAATATACATTCTTCTCAGCAGCCCATGGAACCTTCTCCAAAATAGATCATATCCTAGGGCACAAAGCAAGTCTCAGCAAATATAAGAAAATAGAAATAATACCATGCATACTATCTGACCACAATGCAGTAAAAGTAGAACTCAACAACAAAAGTAAAGACAAAAAACATGCAAACAGCTGGAAACTAAATAACTCATTACTTAATGAAAATGGATCATCGATGAAATAAAAGAGGAAATTAAAAAGTTCCTGGAAGTCAATGAAAATGAAAACACAACCTACCGGAACCTATGGGACACAGCTAAGGCAGTCCTGAGAGGAAAGTTTATAGCCATGAGTGCATATATTAAAAAGATTGAAAGATCCCAAATCAATGACCTAATGATACATCTCAAACTCCTAGAAAAACAAGAACAAGCAAATCCCAAAACAAATAGGAGAGAAATAATAAAAATAAGAGCTGAAATCAACGAAATAGAAACCAAAAAAACCATACAAAGAATTAATGAAACAAAAAGTTGGTTCTTTGAAAAAATAAACAAGATCGATAGACCCCTGGCAAACCTGACTAAAATGAGGAGAGAAAAAACCCAAATTAGTAGAATCAGGAATGCAAAAGGGGAGATAACAACAAACACCATGGAAGTCCAGGAAATCATCAGAGACTACTTTGAGAACCTATATTCAAATAAATTTGAAAATCTTAAAAGAAATGGACAGATTTCTAGATACATATGATCATCCAAAACTGAACCAAGAGGAAATTAATCACCTGAATAGACCTATAACACAAAATGAAATTGAAGCAGCAATCAAGAGTCTCCCCAAAAAGAAAAGTCCAGGACCTGATGGATTCTCTGCTGAATTCTATCAGACCTTTAAAGAAGAACTGATACCAACCCTCCTTAAACTGTTCCATGAAATAGAAAGAGAAGGAAAACTGCCAAACACATTTTATGAAGCCAGTATTACACTTATCCCAAAACCAGGCAAAGACACCTCCAAAAAGAGAACTATAGGCCAATCTCCTTAATGAACATTGATGCAAAAATCCTCAACAAAATAATGGCAAACCGAATTCAACAACACATCAAAAAGATTATTCACCACGACCAAGTAGGCTTCATCCCAGGGATGCAGGGGTGGTTCAACATACGAAAATCAATAAACGTAATAAACCACATTAACAGAAGCAAAGACAAAAACCACTTGATCATCTCAATAGATGCAGAAAAAGCCTTTGATAAGATCCAACATCATTTCATGATAAAAGCTCTAAGAAAACTAGGAATAGAAGGAAAGTCCTCAACATTATAAAAGCTATATATGACAAACCTACAGCCAGCATTATACTTAACGGAGAAAAACTGAAACCATTCCCTCTAAAATCAGGAACCAGACAAGGATGCCCACTATCTCCACTCCTATTCAACATAGTACTGGAATTCCTAGCAGAGCAATTAGGCAAGAAGGAAGGAATAAAAGGAATCCTATACCTTAAAGACCCAAAAAACTCTACTCAGAAGCTTCTAGACATCATCAATAGCTATAGCAAGGTAGCAGGATATAAAATCAACATAGAAAAATCATTAGCATTTCTATACACTAACAATGAGCAAACTGAAAAAGAATGTATGAAAACAATTCCATTTACAATAGCCTCAAAAAAAATCAAATACCTAGGTGTAAACCTAACAAAAGATGTGAAAGACCTCTACAAGGAAAACTATACACTTCTGAAGAAAGAGATTGAGGAAGACTATAGAAAGTGGAGAGATCTCCCATGCTCATGGATTGGTAGAATCAACATAGTAAAAATGTCTATACTCCCAAAAGTAATCTACATGTTTAATGCAATTCCCATCAAAATTCCAATGACATTCATTAAAGAGATTGAAAAATCTACTGAAATTTATATGGAAACACAAGAGGCCACGAATAGCCAAGGCAATACTCAGTCAAAAGAACAATGCAGGAGGTATCACAATACCTGACTTCAAACTATATTACAAAGCAATAACAATAAAAACAGCATGGTACTGGCACAAAAACAGACATGAAGACCAGTGGAACAGAATAGAGGACCAGATATGAAGCCACACAACTATAACCAACTTGTCTTTGACAAAGGAGCTAAAAATATACGATGGAGAAATAGCAGCCTCTTCAACAAAAACTGCTGGGAAAACTGGTTAGCAGTCTGCAAAAAACTGAAACTAGATCCATGTATATCACCCTATACCAAGATTAACTCAAAATGGATCAAGGATCTTAATATCAGACCCCAAACTCTAAAGTTGATACAGGAAAGAGTAGGAAATACTCTGGAGTTAGTAGGTATAGGTAAGAACTTTCTCAATGAAACCCCAGCAGCACAGCAACTAAGAGATAGCATAGATAAATGGGACCTCATAAAACTAAAAAGCTTCTGTTCATCAAAAGAAATGGTCTCTAAACTGAAGAGAACACCCACAGAGTGGGAGAAAATATTTGCCACTACACATCAGACAAAGGACTGATAACCAGAATATAGGGAACTTAAAAAACTAAATTCTCCCAAAACTAATGAACCAATAAAGAAATGGGCAGTGAACTAAACAGAACTTTCTCAAAAGAAGAAATTCAAATGGCCAAAAACACATGAAAAAATGCTCACCATCTCTAGCAATAAAGGAAATGCAAATTAAAACCACACTAAGATTCCACCTCACCCCTGTTAGAATAGCCATCATCAGCAACACCACCAACAACAGGTGTTGGCGAGGATGCGGGAAAAAGGAACCCTCTTACACTGTTGGTGGGAATGTAGACTAGTACAACCACTCTGGAAAAAAATTTGGAGGCTACTTAAAAAGCTAGACATTGATCTACCATTTGATCCAGCAATACCACTCTTGGGGATATACCCAAAAGACTGTGACACAGGTTACTCCAGAGGCACCTGCACACCCATGTTTATTGCGGCACTATTCACAATAGCCAAGTTATGGAAACAGCCAAGATGCCCCACCACTGACGAATGGATTAAGAAAATGTGGTATCTATACACAATGGAATTTTATGCAGCCATGAAGAAGAACGAAATGTTATCATTCGCTGGTAAATGGATGGAATTGGAGAACATCATTCTGAGTGAGGTTAGCCTGGCCCAAAAGACCAAAAATCGTATGTTCTCCCTCATATGTGGACATTAGATCAAGGGCAAACACAACAAGGGGATTGGACTTTGAGCACATGATAAAAGCGAGAGCACACAAGGGAGGGGTGAGGATAGGTAAGACACCCAAAAAACTAGCTAGCATTTGTTGCCCTTAACGCAGAGAAACTAAAGCAGATACCTTAAAAGCAACTGAGGCCAATAGGAAAAGGGGACCAGGAACTAGAGAAAAGGTTAGATCAAAAAGAATTAACCTAGAAGGTAACACCCACGCACAGGAAATCAATGTGAGTCAATGCCCTGTATAGCTATCCTTATCTCAACCAGCAAAACCCTTGTCCCTTCCTGTTATTGCTTATACTCTCTCTACAACAAAATTAGAAATAAGGGCAAAATAGTTTCTGCTGGTATTGAGGGGGGGAGAGGGAGGGGGGGAGTGGTGGTAAGGGAGGGGTGGGCAGGGGGAGAAATGACCCAAGCCTTGTATGCACATATAAATAATGAAAAAAAATAAATAAATAAAATAAAGACAAAAAGAAAAAAAAAAAAAAAAGCAACACAGACATTATCACGTTACCTGCCAGGTGCCATGGAGATGAAACCAGATGATGAAAAACGACTATCTGAAGTGCTCTGTTTATGGCAGAGCCTCAACAGAACAAGTTATAGCTGATCATGCATCCAACTCTGCACTTACTGTAGAAACCAGCCAAGTCCCCCTCATGCCATGTGCCACTGCTAAGGTTTGGATAGGAAATGTCCCCATGGGCTCACGTGTTGAGGGCTTGGCTCCAGCTGGGGATGCTATTTTGGGAGGTTCTGGAAACTTTAGGAGGCAGGTTCTTGGGGGTATCTTGTCCATGGCCCCTTCCTGCTTTTCTTTCTGTTTCCTGCACACCATGGGGCGAAGAGCCTCCTCCACAAACTCCTGTCACTGTGAGGTTCTGCTCACAGAGGGCTCAGAAACACAGTCAAGTGACCATGGACTGAACCATCTGAAACTGTGAGCAAGATAAATCTTTCCTCCCTCAAGTTCTTTCTGTCAGGGATATGGTCAGAGCGATGATAAAAACTAATACGCCTACTTCTTTAATGGGAACGGTAAAATTGTTCTTCTGAGCCAGGGGTGGTGACGCACACCTGTGGTCCCAGCTACTCAGGGGGCAAAAGGAGGGGGACTGCAGCTGAAGTCCAGCCTGGGCAAAGCCTGCATAAGGACCCTGTCTGAAAATCCAGTGGTAGAGGGCCCAAGCTCAAATCCCAGCACAACAATAAAAAATCTGACATTTCTATTTTGAAGTCGAGGGTTGCCCTTTCTATTTCCTTTCTGTACAATTTCCTTTCTTTACAATTGTACTCCTGAAATGAGAGCGTTGTGAGGGCAACTGACTTTGCTGCTCTGCTTCTGCACCTTCAACTCCAGCCTCCAGCACCTGGGAGAAACGACACTGCCGTGTGTTAAGTGCTCAGCTGGAGAGCAATGAAGGATCCAGCACTGAAGAGACAGAACCTCCAGGGGAAAACTCACCTCTCCAAATCTTTCCACGTTTTGTATTTTAGATAAGTTCCCACCAATAGACATGTCATCCAAGCTAGAAAGAATCTTACTAATACTTCCTTCACTGGATGGTCTATTTTTCAGTTTGGATCGGAAAATGTCTCCTTGGACCCACAACGATGCTTGTTTTCTGTCAAAAAGAAAAAAATAATCTTTACAATAAACTACTATCATCTCCTCAAAACCATCATTTCTTAAAAATATAAGCAAAAAACCTTATACATTAGATTAGGAAGGTTATGAATCTTAGAATACAGAAAAAAAAATCTTTCAAAATCCAAAATAAATTTGAATCCAACGTTAAACACAAATAGCCATCTTCCAATATGTGTCTGTGAATTTTGTGAGAATTATCTATTGAGGTTCTCAGTATGCAGACTGTGTCTATTTGTCTGTTAAGTGTGAATTTGAAATCTCTAAGACACTGCCATTGGATATGCAGATTTAGCGCAGCTATTTTGCTGGGGTGAGCTAGGCTTGAAAACTTAGATGAAAGCACTTGACCTCCACAGCTGTCAGAACTGGGTCTCTTAGTAGGTGGGGATGCCAAGCACCTACTCTGGGGGGCCCTGAAAAACCCTCAACCAGAACATTAGGGACGCAGGCTTACATCTTCAGGGGTTTTTTTTTTGTGGGGGGTTGGTGGTTGAGGGCTTGAACTCAGGGCCTTCACCTTGAGCCACTCCACCAGCTCCATTTTTGTGATGGGTTTTTTCGAGATAGGGTTGAGAGCTGGCTTTGAACCGTGATCCTCCTGATCTCTGCCTCCTGAGTAGCTAGGATTACAGGTGTGAGTCACCATGCCTGGCTCAATTAGACATTTTGGACGGAGAAAAGCATGTGTCTGAAGTGCATCTAAAAGCTTCCTTTTATTCAAGAAGGCACAATTGTACTGCTTTCAAGGTGTTCAGAAAATAACTTATAACACGTAAGCAAAATAACCATTGAGAGCTTCTATTTTTGATAGTGTCAACATCATACATTTCTTGGAAGATAAATTACACCACAGAACAGTGTTCGTTCTGTTGTGTGCCACACATATAGAGAAATCAGCTTACAGACACCGTGGTGCGTCGTGAAGAAACGACAGCATGTCAAGGAGATACCACCGGTAAGAGACGGGTTCCACACTTGCTCTCAAAGGTTGTATGTATCATCCGTGTGTCACATAGAACTCAGGTTTACAGCACAAGGAGAAAAGCAGTAGTTAAAAAACAAAAACCCCTAAATGTTTCACAGGATGTCAGATAGTGACCCATCTCCCCTTTTAAACAAAGTTTATTCACAAATCAGAATGGTAGCATTTGTTAGCATTTATGGTTAAATACTGTTGAAAGTCTTGAGGCATGAGTTCCCTTTCTTTGTGGTGTGAGGGATTTGAACTCAGGGCCTCACACCTGCTGGGCAGACACTGTACCACCTGAGCCACTCCACCAGCCTGAGAATAAATTAACCTGTGAGCCACAGGACCATTGCACATGCTTAGTCCCTCCCCCCGTGCACAGGTAGGTAATCATCCTGCAAAAACACACTGTGGAGAAGATACAAAAGTGCTTGTAGAAACACCTTCTATAATAGGAAAATATCGGAGATACCCTGCTAGCAAAACAGCTTTTTAGATTATAGTAGACTCATTCTGTGAGTTACGACATAGCTGCTAAAAAGCCTGTGACAGACCTACCTGTGGTAGCAGGAAAGAGTGGCTATGAACTAAAGCATTAATGAGTGACAACGTGGAAAGTGTGGTAAAAGGAGAAAAGGTTCCAACGTTAACAAAAAATTCACAGTTTCTAGAACACCCAGGGAAATATTAGTTACTTCTGAGAATGGTCATAAAAGAAGCGTTCGCTTTCTACTACAGTCTACACTGTTTAACTTAAAAAAAAAAATACGTCATTCACTTTTTAAATAAAAAAACAAACAAAGATCAAGGCAGGTAAGCTAGACAAGTATAAAAAAGAACCTCTAAAGAGATAAGAGATGGCAAAGGGCTGGTGGGGTGGCTCAAGTGGTAAAGCATCTGCCTACCAAGCATAAGGCCCTGAGTTCAAATCCTAGTACTGCCAAAAAAAAAAACTAACAGCATTTGTAATATCATTCTAAAATTTAAACTAGTTTAAATTAACTTAGGAAACTTCTAGTATATTTCCAACATGTTAAGTAGTTTTTAAAATCTTCTGAGTTTTTAAAAAATATGAGTAAAACTGAAATTCCAGAAATCTCTCCACAGCGGTTCACTAGCGAGTGAAGCAGTCTTCTGCCTTCTGTTGCAGCAGAAGTTACTTCTTGGGGCTGGAGTTGCATTTCCTGAGCTTTGGCTGGGTAATTGATGAGGTTAGCATACCCGAGTCCCAGTTCATTTTTCTATGCCAACTGTAAAAATACGGATTTAAAACAAACTCTTAACATTTCGTTCTTTTGTACAATATTTATGAAATAAATATTTCTTGTTTTCACTTTTATTCCTCCAGCCTTTCTACTTCACGCCAACATGTTACTAACTAAATTAACACATCCTCTGAAAATACGTCCCTGATCTGATGCTCAAATCTTACGACTTCAAACAGCAGTAAAAAAAAAAAATAGCAGAGTCCCTGAGAGAGACAGAGCAGATCCAAGACAGCTGCTAAATTCTAACGCGAATGTCTAAGAGCTATTGTGACAACAGAGGCTCAGCTTTGTCACCAATGCTGAGAAATCCAGACAAAAGAAACGCAGAGAAAGGAGAGGGACATAAGTACAAAGACCCAGTCCTTGTCCCCAAGATGTTCCCAGTTCAGGATGAGAAAGGCAAATGACTGAAATGCAGAGTACGAAGCCCTGTGATAAAGAGTCACAGAGGACCCCAGTGGAACCGAACCCAGCTCAAACTGAAGGCACCGGAAACTGCCCGGGAATCCAGAACGACAGCTGTGTACTTGACAACGGACCGCATCTATGTAGACAGTCCCGTAAGATTTCAATCTTATGGAGCTGAAATTTCCTACTGCCTAGTGACGTGGGAGCCACAGCGGTATCACAGCACAACACGTTTGTGCAATTCTACTGTAAACGAACCTACTGTGGGAGGATGGCACCCAAGTCCTGTACAGTACGCAACACTTGACAACAGATGACTTATTTAAAATCCTCCACTCTACAACGCTCTGCCATATTATGCCGACGGCAGCCTCGTACATCTCATTCACCCTGTCTCTTCCAGAGGCCGTGTTAAGTGATTGACTCCACGATCTCAGTTTGTATGAGGATGCTCTATCATGTTCCCAAGTCAACAGAATCACCTAGGACACATCTCTCCAACCATATCCCTGTCTGTAAGCAATGCATGACCGTTTCTAGAAAAATAATCAAAAAGGAGCCAGCAAAGAAAACACTGTGCCTAGGCTGGAGCCGCAGTGATCTCAAAGAACACAGCACGTTTAGGGAGTGGGTTATTTAATTTGCAGAAGCAGAAGACCTTAGAGAAGCAGGTGATGGACACAGCTCAAGCTCCTCGTGGGCCCTGGGTGCCAGGCTAGGAAATCGCAATGTGACAGCCAAAATAAAGGGAAGATCCTGAGAGGGTCTATAGGAATAAAAGTCATGAATGGGAACAGAGGCAGAGAAAAGGACCTGAGAAGCTAAGTGAAAAAAAAAAAATCTGATTCCAAAATAAGTTATGAAATGAAAAGTCTGATACTGCCACCAGCCTTAAGGTGAAAATTGCAAAGTGACAACTTTCGCTTGCTTGGTTTAAAAGACTCAATCTGTCCCCTCTCTGGAAAGACTTGATTTGATCCTGAATATTAAAGCTGCAGAAGGTGTCAGAGCCGATCTGAGTGTTGCTAAGTGATTCGGAGTGCAAATGCCTCCTAAGAAAGCCACCCTCCATGCGAGCGCCTCCTCACCACCCGGGCTTTCATTGCGGTGTCTGATACTGCTTAAAAGCCCCGTCTCAAACAAGAGAGGGAAAACTGTATTTTTAAGTATTTAGCATTTAAACTCAAAATCTAGGGTTCTGACACATCCATGAAAACAAACCATCCGATGAGGTGGTGCGTTTTCTAAGACAGATGAAATGATGGCCCTCTGCTCACAGCTTATGTGCTCTGAAGTGACGGGAGACCTTCGTCTTGACTCTGGTCAGGTGTGGGCAAGCCAAGTATGGGAAATAAGAAAAAGAACTAAGTCACTTGGCTTTGTCACGCATCAATTTGTCATTGGTTCTGACTTCATACCTCTCTGAGAATATCTGATTTTAATGGTTTGCTGATGAAACACAAGCCAGTTTCACATTGATAAATATTTCGGGTTTTGAGTCCATAACACAACAGAAGTCACTGTTTGCGCACCTGCTTGCTGCTGACTGGTTCTCCCTCGCATCCTTAAGTCCGTGCCAACCCTCTCTGACACCAGCCCAATTCTTCACTTTATTGCTCCTGAAATGTTCTTCCCAGGATGATCCCACCAAATGTCCATCCAAAGCCACCATTTGGTCATTTTGGGAAACCAGCCCATGTTCTAACTTAGCCCAGGCCTACTCTTTCCCGTGTGCCTCCTACCCACCAACCCATGCCTATTATGACACAGAGGTAGCTCCTGGCTTTAAGAATTGACTATTGTAACAGTTAAGTGAATATCAGAGAAAACAGATCAGAAGCCAACACAAGAGATGGAGATGGGAAGGAGACAGAGAATCAGGGAGCAAAATGGTTTAAGTGGTAGAGCAACTGCCTAGCAAGCATGAGGTCCTGAGTTCAAATCCCAATACCACCAAAAAAAAAAAAAAGAAAGTACTCAGTACTCAGGGAGTCCTGCAAAGACTTAGGAGGAAGCCATTTAGGAAAAGAATTTTGGAAAGTATGGGAGAAGCCTCTTGATTCTGAAATACACAACAAAGTAAAACTAGAAGGGAAAAAATGAGTCAGGGAATTCCTAAAAAGATCCCAGCGACTAAATCTGGTTTTAGACATGGACTGTCATAATTAAGTGTTAGATCGTTGTTGTGCCATGCCAAAATGCAAGCTTTCTACTAAACCTAACATCCCACTGCTCCCAATGCTTTTCCCACCTTTAACCTTTTTCTGTGCTTTTATTCAGAGCCCAGGAAGCTAAACAAAACCATTCAGGCAGGACGCCAGTAGCTCACAC